AATTAACTAACAAATTAAAATAATAAATTAACACTAAAGATACTACAGGTTGGAGAAAAGATTAAGGAGGTCAAGAGTTATGAATTCTCCAATTGTCAGAATCCTTCCCGCTATGTCTTCTATAATTTCACCTAAGTATTCACCGATCATGAGCGCTCTGCGTGTTGTAATTCTCTCCCGAGTAATTACGACAATTTACTAGACATACTCTCCCGAGTTACGCTAGCTTGTTTTAATTACAACTTACTTAGATTGCACCCAAGGTTTCGTTATCCCTAATCCCACCTTTAAACCCTTGGTTATTGATTCCTCACATACGTCAGGAGTGATGTTGTTCAACGACTACCTAAATATGCACTCTCTCCCGAGTAATACATATTAAATAGGCACAACTAATTGAGGGCCTTCAATCAACCACACGAATAATATAGTTGAGCAAATAGAGAAAATACTACGGCTAAATTATATAAAAACATAACAAGAATTTATCCTACAAAAGGTTCCATCAAAACCCTAGATAACAAATTAGCTATTCATAATAGTATGTAAAAGTACAATACTAAAAGTCATAACCAACAATGAAAAATAGGAAGAGGAAGGAAAAACTCGTAGAAGAATTCCCCGCCTTGCTCCTATTGTGTCTCTGCCTCCTTAGGTCAAATATGTGTCTCAAATCTGTCCAACCTCCTCAAAATACCATTTTCCATGTATATATACCAAGTAGGGTCGGGCCCAAATAATTATACCTTCTCCTAGATGAAAAAAACAATTTTCTCGGGTTTGACTAGCGCGGCCGCGCTCGTTACCGCGCTAGTGGCCGCGCATATTGCCCAGTATGTGTATTTTACTAGATGGTGTACAATATGCCAACTCGATTCTTCGTTTATTCTAATTATCATCCGTTGACCTGCGAACACGATCCTGGCTTAATTCCTTGAGCTTTTACTCAGACATCAAAGTTCCAAATCACTTGAATTCATTCCATAATATCTACATAGCTCGGAATCATCCTTACAAGGCATAAAACACACAATTAGTGCAAGACACTAGCGATTAAAGCTCAAACTCAATTAAAGTGCAGTGAATTTGAATGTAATAAGCGACTAAAATACATAATTATAGTCTATCATCAGCTCCATATCCGGAGGTTCGAACATAAGACATGTCATTAAGAATACATGGTACTTAGTAGTTAGTACTTACCATTCTATTACAATATTTATTGGTTTCTATTGAAACTTTTGCACCATGGTATACACTACAAAGTAGTATCATTGCGTTGATTTAATTTCCTAAATTATTTGCTCGTATAACTTTCACACCCCTATTTCATGGAATTATATGATTGACCAAACATATTCAAATTGATGCCTTATCCTTGAAAGGTATCTTTTTCTTTCCTAATAATTAAAAATCAATGGCCACATTTGCAAGCATGCTATTTTTCTCAAGGAATTTATGTATGTTCAATTGATTATACTTCAAATATTATACATTTGGAATTGGAAGACTTCTAAAGGGCAGTTTGAATTCAAGAGCTGGGCCTTGTGGAATATCAAACATTCTATCTTGTATGTCACATCTATCAATTACAACGATATCTAATTATTTAGACTTTATACATGACCTAGATATGAGATCTTTAGAATCCGATATACTCCAATTAATAATGTTATGACAGTTTTGACAACACTAAGTTAAAAAATTGAATACTTAAAAGGCGAAAAGCTGAGATTAAATTTGTAAAAAATAATAATGTAATTTTACTTTCGTAATTTCTAAAAGCGGAGGATATGTAAGTCAAAATTTTCCACAAATTAGACATAAAGAGATAATCTAAAAGTTTAATCTCAGAAGGGAATAATAAATCTTGAGAACCATTATTGATGACTAACATGACAGGTAACGGTATTCACATGAAAGAGAAATGAAGTTTCTTAGTTGAGGCAAAAACATTAGATAACTTATTTTTTATTTGTTAAACCTTTGATTAGTAGAATTACTCGGTATATATTTGCTAGCAGGAGATAACAAATAATGACGTATGCAGAAAGTTTTGTAAGCAATATTAATATTTGAAGAAAAAATAAATAAATAAATCATTGTAACGATAAGGGGTGTAATTTTTTTTATATTTATGCCTAATATTTTAATTTTAATTATTATTTATTTATACATGCATATTACGAAAAAAGTTTGACGAAATGGTATTAGGTGATACCATATAGAATAAGGTGCCTACGCCCTTGATAGCTAGTACCCCATAAAATTAGTCAATATGGACGCAAACTGACCCGGCCGTTATTAAATAAAAATGAAAGAGGAAGGAAGTGATGAACTAGTGCGGGTTCCAGTTTGGACCCCGTGAAATCAACCCCTCTATTTAGTCCGAATATTACTTTGCACCAAACTGTCATGTCCAAAACTTCAAAACAGGTCCCCACTCTCCTCTTATCGAGCTATAAATGGCAGCATACCAAGTAGTTGGCTGCCACCCTTATTTCATTTTCAGTTTTAAGCATCAATCCTTTTTCATACTTGAAGAGGAATTTTGGGGGTTGTTGGCTTTGATTCCTTTAACTTCTTATGCATTTAGTTGTGAAAACTTATTAAATTGGACGAAAATTAGTGGATCAGATACAAGGTTTGAAATCACTATATGTAAAATACTATTTTACTTACTATTCTTTTCTGATAATATGTCCGGAACTAACCTAAGTATATACTACATGTTTAAAACTTGTTTATTTATAATTATAGAGTTTGATCAAATTGTAATGAATATGCTCGCGACATGCATAGTATGGTAGATCCACCCATTCTCTAATCTATGTTGTGGAAAATATTTTTTCTTATAGAAATTTACATATTTAGTCCATCAAATCTCGATAAATTTTGATTATGATCCTTGTGAATTCCGATTCAGCACATTTAACATCCAATTAGTCTATGTACACTTTTGTTCCATTTGACTGTGAAACTTCACAAATTTAACACATTATTAAGTGCTAAGTCATTTAGTTATTAACGTACGTTAAATTTGTTTTGTTATTTCATTTTAGGGTGATGTAGTTCTACAAATAGTCTAGATATTACATATGCCAAGCTAATTAGAGGTTAAATGTGCTTAACCAAACATTACAAGGACCAAAACAGAATTTTTCAATAATTGAAGGGCCGAAATTCTCTGATTATCAGACTGTAGATGCAAAACATGGAGAGAAAAATAAAGAACAATTTTTATGATTTCTAAATAACAAGTTCACGAGCACGAATAAATTAATGACGACACATAAATATACTGAATATTCACAACGTTTTCGTAGTTAAAACAAAAGATAGGAATTAAACTAGTCAAGCTTTAATTAATAAGGTTTAATTAACTTCGCTACTTCATAGAATTACACTTATTTGGCAATTATCTTTAATAAGGATAATTCTTCAAACCAAAGAAATTAATCCTCCGAAGCCTTTGATCACATCAAATTACGTATTTAAGTTACGTACGGATCACAATGTAAAACATTTTATACTTTATGTAATTTTACCAACCATAACAAAGCATTTACATATTTTTTAGTCAACCCCTGACGGATTCATACTTGATATAAAGCTATATATAATTTCGTTTCGAATAACTTGATAAAGTAAAGGTCTTTACGTTAATGTATGCAAGTTAATCTAGCTTAACTTTATTAACACAGTTTGGCATCATCATGACGTCAACATAAGCAATAATTTGAGCTTCAATTTTTTAGTTCTCATTTTGGATATCTTGTAATCGAGCAAGTGAGGCGTGGGTGGAAGAAAAAGTAGTAATGGCCCATAAACAAAGATTAATACAGTGAGGTCAAAGGAATAAAAAGGTGAAAGTTGTGGGCTTTCTCGAATAATATCTTTAAATCAAGACTCATTTAGTTAACTTAGTTAATAGTAATCAATATGATGGTTTTTGGATAAGTTAAGTAGGAAATGAGAGAAAAAATGGGTCGTTGTAGCTGCTACTCACTTTCTTTCTATTCTTTAGAATCTTTTATCTCCAATTGTCTAGTGGGTGGGGGTAGGAGAAAATATTTAACAGATGATTTGTGGAATCCCCCAAAGTACCTCCCACCTGGAAATTGAGAATAAAGAAATTCTGCAGGAATACATACTGAAATAATGACTTCAAATTTATTCGGTACCTATATTATAGGTGGGAGGTAACAAATATTCGGTGGAACTGTTCGAGGTACGTACAAGCTAATTCAGACTACGTTTTCAAAAGCTTTCTGTCAAATCGGTTCCTATTTCAATCCGTGCTGGACCAATCGATTTACCAATAATTAAGTCTTCAGTCAACTAGTGGAATACATAACATCAACCTGGGAGCATTAGCCGATCTGGTCTAATTTTTTTAACCCGATCCATGTATATAATGAAGTAGAGTACCTTATTTCTTTTTATCAGGAGCACATATACAAATGGATAAAAATAGAAAAATTCAACAGGAATACATAGTGAAACAATGAGTTCAATTTTACTGATATTAGTTGTAACTGAACTTCATCTGGAACAAAAAACACTAAATCAGAATTGTTATCTCGCACTTTTGAGTTGGGCATGCGGGTCGAGTTGAGTATCACGCTCTATCCACAAATGGGCGGACAGTTTGAGCGTACTATTCAAATTTTGGAGGACATGTTGCGAGCATATTCTATGGATTTCGGAGATCAATGGGACCAATTTTTACCTCCAGTAGAGTTCTCCTACAACAACTATCAGTCAAGCATCCAGATGGCTCCATACGAGGCCTTATATGGGAGGCGATGTCGTTCTTTGGTTGGATGGTTTGAGCCCGATGAGGCTAAATTGTAGGGCCAAATTTGGTCCGTGATGCTTTGAAAAAAGTTTAAGGTGATTCAGGAACGACTTCGTACAGCTCAGTCCATGCAAAAGAGTTATGCGCACGAAAGGTTCGAGATGCGGCTTACATAGAAGGTAAGAAGGTTCATCTCCGAATGTCGCCTATGAAGGGTGTGATGCGGTTTGAGAAGAAGCGCATGAACCTGAGGTTTATTGGCCCATTTGAGATTTTTGAGAGAGTTGAGGAGGTTGCTAGTAGGCTTGCATTGACTCCTAGCCTAGCAGGGGTACATCCGGTACTTCACTTTTCCTTGCTTTGGAAGTACCCTGAGGATAGGTCACATGTTTTAGACTTCAACATGGTGCAGCTTGATGAGGATTTGACATATGAGGAAGAGTTAGTGGCTATTCTAGACCGGCAGGTTCGAAAGTTGAGATCTAGGAGTTTTCCTTCTGTGAAAGTGCATTGGAGAAATCAGCTGATTGAGGAGGTTATGTAGGAGTCTCGAGTCCGATATGAGTAGTAGATTCCTACACCTTTTACCAGTCCATGTAGATTTCTATGTTCGTTAGAGGGCGAATGTTTCTTTTAGAGGTGGAGAATATGACGATCTGATAGGCTGTTTTGAGTAATATCTCCTTTTTCTATGTTACGAGACCTTCCATAGTTTTATTTGATGATTTATGACTTGCGAGCATGGTCCGTATCGTTTTTCGGAAAGCTTATATGTAAAAAATTTTAAAAAATAATTTTTGGCTTTAAAACAACTTGAGTTGACCACAGTCAATGTTTTTGACAAATGACATCGGATCGGTATTTTGACGATTCATATAGGTTCGTATGATTTTTTGGACTTGTACACATATTTGTTTAGGGTCCCAGGTGACCCGAGGGCATTTCAGCGTTTTATGTGAAAAGTTAAAAGGAGTTCCAAGGTTAAAAACCTTGAGTTTTGATGATCATTCTTGATATTTAATGTTATTTTAATGATTTGAGATAACGAACGAGTTTGTATGATATTATTGTACTTGTGTGAATGATCGGATTAGATATATAGACTTCCTGCAGATCTCACATTTGTGAAGTATTGCTCGCAAATGTGAGCATAGCTTTTGTGAGTGATGGTTTGTATTTGCGAGAGGGGCTAGGATTGGGCACTTTGTATTTGCGAAGTCTGAGTCGCTTTTGCGATATGGGGGATTATCGCATTTGCGACTATTGTGTCACATTTGAGACACTGGGCATTATAGAGCAGCTTCGCAATGGCTCGCATTTGCTATGTAGGGGACCTTCGCAAATGCGGAGGTAATGTTGCATCCACAATAAATGCATGATTGTGGCACTAATCGCTTTTACTATCAGTGGTTCGCATTTGCGGGTATCGCAATTGCAAACAAGAGTTCGTAAATTGCGACATCTACGGTCGGGTAAATATGGGAATTTTAGAACTTAGCTAATTTTACACCATTTTTCAACCCTAAAATCTATAGAGGCAATTCTTGAAAAGGAATTTCTTCCCAAATTTATTAATAAGCAATTTTAACTTGTTTTTAATCTAGCTCAATTACTTTTTTCATGAATTGTATCATCAAATCTATGAATTTCAAGGTAGAAATTAGGAGTTTCGGGTAGAATTTAGGAATTTTATAAAATTAAAATTTAGACCTCGAATTGAGGTTGAATTTTGAAACAAATCATATATTTAGGCTCAGGGGTGAATGAGTAATCGTGATTTGGTCTTAATCTCGGGTTTCGACCACGTGGGCTCGGGTTGACTTTTTATTGACCTTTTCAATTATGTTAAACAGTTGAAGTACTTCGGACAAGATCCATGTCCAGGGAAGATCCATCCCTCAATATTATTAGTCACGCTCATTAGGGGTGCGTACAGACTCCGGAGGGGCTCCTAAAGATCAAGTTCTATCACAAATCAATATAACCACTGCGGCGTGCAGCCCGATCCCAAAACTATCACTCATAATCAGGCTCTCGGCCTCACTTAGTCATCAATCTCTCTAGTCTCACTCACTGGATCACAATATCATGAAAACTAGCTCGAAACAATGATATGATGTATCAATATATAACAACTGAGACTGAGATATGATATGAAATGTATGTATATGACTAAGTACATAATATCAGTGAAATTAGTGAGTTGATAGCAAGAAACGACCACTAGGGATTCCAACAGTACTGGCATAAAGCCTAAACATGATATCTAGCATGATTTCCAACTCAATTACTTTATCATATAATGAAAACACGGATATCAACAAGATAGAGTCACTATACAATGCCATGGAATCAACTAGATCATAATTCTCATGGTTCACACCCACACGCCTGTCACTTGGCATGTGTGTCAACTCAATACCAATCACATAACACATAATCTGGGGTTTCGAACCCTCAAAACCAAGTTTGAAAGCCTTACTTACCTCAAACCGAGCAAATCTCTACTCCAAAATGTCTTTGCCTCTTAAATCGGTCTCCAAACGTCCTGAATCTAGCCACAAGTAGTACAACACAATCAATATAGGCTAAAGGGATCAATTCCACAAGAAAAGTACTAAATCATAGCCAAAATCCGAAATCGGCTCGAACCCGGCCCCCAATCCCATGCCTCAAAATCTGGAAAAAGTCAAAAATCCGAAAGCCTATTCACTCACGAGTCTAACCATACCAAATTTATCAAAAACCGACACCATTTGGTCATCTAAAACCCCAAAATTCACTCTCCAAATCCCTTTCCCTCAATCCCCAAATTTCACCTCAAAAACTCACCAACTAGGTGTAAAATCAGTGGGGAAATATCATTATTAAAGATAAATGGGCACAAAGAGCTTACCTCAGTATTCCCTTAGAAAATCTCCTCAAAAATCCCTGAAGTTCGAGCTCAAAGTGATGAAAATGATGAAAAATCTTGAAGTCTCCTATTTATATTTTCTGCCACACAAAATCGCACCTGCAACCTAATTTTCGCACCTGCCGAATTCACTTAAACCCACTGGGCTCGCACCTGCGCTCTTGGTCTCACACATGCGGAGTCGCTTCTGCGGCCCTTCGTTCGCTTCTGCGGAAATGACCAAGCTCCCCTCTTCTGCATCTGCTAGGGGTGGACATATATCAGTTCGAACCGAAAAAACCGACCGAACCAAAATTTTTTTAATTTCGGTTTCGGTTATTCGATTTTTTCGGTCGATTTCAAATTAAAATTTTTAAAATTCATTTTTTCGGTTCGGTCGTCAGTTATTGATTTATTTTTTTCGGTTAACCGAAAAACCGAATTATTAGTACATGGATTCTTTAAAATATATATTCCATACTTATATAGGCTAAGGCCCAATTTTAAGTTCCATAAAAATCAGCCCATCCCAAACCCAAATGCCCAAAATCCAAATACGCTAGGGTCCTTCTCAGTTCACTCATCAGCTCCTTTTCTTTTCCCATTCTTAGGCTAGGGCTTTTCTTTCTCCCTTCTCTTCTCAATTCTCTCTATCGGCAGTTCCTCCCCCCAAATATGCTAGGGCTTCCATTGATACACTGGTGGTTTTCCCAAATACGCTAGGGATCTGTCATTGTCGTCAAATTTCTTGTGGCGGTAAGCTTAATTTTTGTTATATTTCGCTCATTTCTTCTTTTTTGTGTTCTCTACTCCTCGCCGATCTTCTCTTCTTTCTATCGTTTCAGTTTATTTTTTATTTATTTTTTCTGCTAAAAGTTTGTATTTAAAGACTTAAAGGTGCATGCAACATATATATTGTTGAAAGAAGTCTTGACTCTTGAATGTGATGTCCATTTTCTTGTAATATTTGTTGGTTTCAGTGTTGTTGAGAGGTTCTAACTTGTTATTAAAACAATAAAAGCTCACTGCTCAGTATTTTATTGTTATGCTTGTATTCTTTTTTGAAGATGGAAGAAAATGGAAGTAGGGTAAGCGAAACCTGCGAAGGTGGGGGTTCGAATGATAGCATACCTAATACTGAAGGTCTCAGTCCAGACAGTCCTGATGAAGCTCCAAAGAAAAGGAAAGTGATGCAACCTAGATCTGATGCTTGGAAACATTTTGAGAAATATGATGATCCTAGTGGAGCTAAAAGAGCAAAATGTAACTACTGTCAAAAAACTTATGCTGCTGCTACGAAAGGTAATGGTACTACATCAATGAACAATCATCTCATTAAGTGTCCCAAAATGCCCCGTATCATGGATAATAGTCAAACACAAATCAGTTTTCTACTAGCTTCAAATGGGGCAAATGAAGGGGTGCTTACCACTTGGAAATTTGATCAAGCACTTAGTAGGAAAGCTTTAGCTCAAATGATAATTTTGGATGAACTGCCATTTAGTTTTGTTGAAAAGGAAGGATTTAAGAAGTTTATGGGAGTCACAATGCCTCAATTTCAAATTCCTTCTCGTAGAACATTGACAAGAGATTGTTATGAACTTTATTGTGAACAAAGACATAATTTGAAGAAGTCCTTCAATGAAGCACGTCCTAAAATCTGTCTTACAACAGATACTTGGACTTCTATACAAAGAATAAACTATATGTGTCTTACTGCTCACTTTATTGACAGGGATTGGAAATTGCATAAAAGGATAATAAAATTTTGTCCTATCTCTAGTCATAAGGGTGATGATATGGCATCGGCAATTACTAATTGCTTGCTTGATTGGGGGTTGGAAAATGTATTTACTATAACTCTAGATAATGCTAGTTCCAATGATGTCACAGTGAGAGAAGTGTCTAAACAATTGACTACTTGGGGAACTAATATAATGAATGGTAAACACCTGCATGTTAGATGTATGGCTCACATACTTAATCTCATTGTACAAGATGGGTTGAAAGAAATTGGTGTTTCTATCAAGAGAGTTAGACAAGCTGTGAGATACATTAGACAATCTCCCGCTAGGATTAGAAAGTTTAAAGAATGTTGTGAATCTCAAAAGTTAACTTCCAAGAGATCATTATGCTTAGATGTTTCAACTCGATGGAACTCTACATACATGATGTTAGACACAACACAACAATTTGAGCTTGCCTTTGACAAATATAGTTTCTTTGATATTGGATTGTTGTATCATCTTCGTACCTATGTATGTGAAGATGGAACTAGTGCATGTGATCTCACAAGTGCTGACTGGGATAATGTGAGAACAATGGTAAAATTTCTTGAAGCTTTTTATTTGCTTACTTTGAGGGTCTCTGGTTCTATTTATGTCACTTCCAATGTGCATTTTGTTGAAATTTGTGAGCTTGATCTTATTTTGAAAGAGTGGATGGAATATGAAGATACTAGTTTGAAAGAAATGGCAAAAAAAATCAAAGAAAAATTTGCCAAGTATTGGGGTGAACCTGAAAAAATAAACAAGATGATCTTTATTACATCAATTTTGGATCCTCGTAACAAGCTTGAATATGTTCCTTTTGCAATTGTGAGGATGTTTGGAGAAAAAGAAGGGGAAAAAATGATTTTAGAGGTGAAATAT